TACAATAAATTTATGGCAATAAAGTATTCGCGTAAAGTATTCGTAAAATGTACTGGTCTTTAGATAATTGGGTAATCAGATAAGATAGATTAAGTATCTAACTACGTTGCTATTTACCATTTTCGATTTTTATTGATTGCTAATTGGTTAACAATAATTTCAATACCCAATATATTTGAGAGATTTCAAAACACTACACATCACAAGAAATGTTCAAAATATAAAAAAATTATATAAATATTTGAAACTTTTATCACCCTGTACGTCCATAAGGCAGTGTCCTATCAAAAATTTTTATAAGGCAAAAGTTGATTATTTTCATCGGTAGAATACGCCATTTATGTTTGTCAAAACTTATCATTAACACCCTGTATTTATTTGGTTAATCAAAAATAGTTCCATAAAACAAATGATTACCTACTTTAAATTTTCACTTTTTCACAGTTGGAAGAATACCGAAATAAATTGAAAAAAAGATTAAAATTATGACACAAATAGTGAATTTCAGACAATATACACTTTTCAGTTATCTAATAAAGTCTGACATATTTTTTCCAATAACTACTTATTCAGGACAAAAATAGAACTTGTCAATAAAAATGAAAGTCGTGATATCCTTATATCTGTCCAATATATTTTACTTGAGCTCTCTTTACCTCATTTTAGTTATTCTGTTTTTTATTATTGTCGTAAAAATGGGGTCTGACACACATATAAATATAAACAACATGATGAATCGAATTTTTTCTTAGAACTTTTTGTAAAAAATATGTAAGACACATACTAAATTCATTATTGAAAAACCATGACATAAAACCAAATCTCACGTTCGAAATGAACTTAAATTAAAAAACTTCACCAGTCTTCTTAACTACATAATATGTAAGTAAATCAATTTATTGAGGGTGTCAGATGATGTCGGTGGTAAAACTTTTGATAAATAGCATTTTTCATACGAATACTTTTCCAAACCAGAAATGGTTTGGTCGAGATACTATTTTTCATATTTTCCTATCAAACGGAAATTTTTACGGCTAAGACGACTTTCAAACGTGATTTGTTCTACCAAGCTTACCTATCTTACACATTAAAACAAACTTAAAAAATCAACTGTGGTGAAACTGTGACTCGTTCTATCAATAAAACTTATTTTTCTTTAATAAGACTTTTAAATTAAACATTTATAAATTGCGCTATTATTACCAGAACGTTTTGGCATTGCATCCTCTCATTCCTTATCACTGTCTAATAACACACACGAAATCTGGAATCGGTAAGTTGAATACTTTACAAGTTATAGCCTTATAAACAAATTAACTAATTATTAGTCTGGACGATCGCGAGCATCTTCCACAATCGCACTGATTTTTTTCATGATAGATTTCATAATAATACATTGAAATCCATATTTTTTTTTAAATTTCAAATTTGCAACCTGGAAAGTTTTTTTATTTTTTAGCCTTAGTTGCAAAATTAAATATACGACGCACGTGCGTGATATAGTTATATATTATTATATTCGGAAAGCTTATAAAAAGAGCTTTAAGTTAAAATAATACCGCCAAAATTCGTTGAAAAACAATGGAGTTACATATTGTCAAAGTTGACGGTCTACTGTTAGGTTGGTAGCGGCAAAAAAAATACTGTCATAACCTCAACCCGAGTACTTTCCCAGATAAAAATATTTTAAGTGCATATGAAATTGTCAAATGTCAGTGGGTCGCTTGATTTTTGGGCGAGCTGTGGCGCGGCGGAAGGATGGGGTAAGCGAACGACGGCAAGCATCGCGCTTGAAAAAAAACTCGTTTTCGCTCTTCAAAATCGATAGCGCAACTAGAATAGATTTTTTCTTCGGAAGTAGTTACGATAAATCGATCATTTTTTTAAATTTGATACTACGTTACGAAAGGAATTTATTGGAATTGCTCAAAATTACGAAAAATCATGAGAAAAGTCATTGATTTCATTAAAAGTTATAAGTGAAATTATTGTTGCATTTTTATTCAGGAAAAGATTGGGAAATTATTTATCTAAAGGATAAATGATGTTTTATTACCTACATAAATATTATAATTATGTTTTTAATGCAAAATGAAACTGTACATTTTATTAACTTGTATATTTTTTTACAAATAATTACCAAGGGCAGACCCTACTCTAAATTCTTATACCTGCGTCCGTTTTTCGTACTGAACTTGGCCGATAGAATAATATCTGCTTTCTCTTACGCAAACTTACTTTTAAAATATTAATGCAAAGAAGTAATAAGATAATATTTATACTTTGGTTTTTTCTGTGGAGTCACATAAAAGATGTACTCAACAAAAGTAGACCGCAAAATATCGAAGAGTAGCAGAAAAGGAGAAGGCATGAAATTTCCACTATTCCTCCCAACACCCTTCAAAATTTTGTTCAGCAAATTAATTACTGTCAGGAGGTAAATTGTGAACAGTCTGTACACCTTATAAAACATAATTCCAAGGAAAATATTTATTGTTTACTAAAACTTATTCTCTCTCTTTTTTTTTATTCTGGCATAACTATTGTTTTCATAAAATTTAATTTATTTAAAATATCCATCAAAATATGGAATAATATGCAGAGTATTCCATTAAAGAAAAAGCAACTTTGTTTCGTCATGACTTTTTGACTGATCCTTCATTTTTCTATACTGCAATAGATTTTAAAAATCCAGAGAACGTTTGTGTCTTAATGATTTTTCGATAGCTATCTTACTTTAGGAAATAATTGACCGTTTCCATACATATAAGCGACCCTGTATTGGAAATCGTGAGAAAAAATACGTCACTTTGTAATAGTATAGTTGTTACGATGTTAATTGGAACCTGTGAATCTTAAAGCACAGGACCGTTTGCACTTCTCTTGAAATTTCTTCGTATACTTTAGCAATGATTTGTCTCGTAATTTATACTCGAATAGCCATTGGGCGAGTCCGGAATTGGTAGACAGTCCGCCTGATATAGAATCGACGGCGGTGCGCTGATCGTTAAAGCAAACCGTATTGGTCTACTAGGTCGTAAATCATTTTTTGCATGGTATTCTATAATTAGTTTGTTGTCGAACGCTATTCACTGCGCTTTGGCAGTGCAATGGTAAAAGGTAATAGTTATTAAAATAAATATTATATGTAATTATCTAGTAATTCAGCATGGCTTCCTGGAGACCCGTTGAAACTGAAGATAACGAAATAACCCGGGAATATTCCCAAACAGTCGAGCCGTTTTTTGTCGAAAGCATCGAAATAAACTCAGAGTTTAAAAACAAAGACTTACACGTACAAAGTCAACGCATTATTTGAAATATATATGAATGTTTGAAAAGAGAAAATAGTGAACAATGTGATAAAGGAATTAGGAAATGGATTAGCGAATTAACTAAGATATTAAAAACGACAATTTTTCACGTAATTAAAGAAAGAGATTAATCACGGTACAATGAGAAAACAGAAAAATACAAAATTAAAGAATATGGACGATTTTGCCAGAGATGTAATTCGGCGGACAATTTATAATATGTATAAAGAAAATAAAGTTTCTACTTTAAACATGATTCGAGATAAATTAAGCGATTATCACGATTATAATTATAAATATTTAGATACTTTACATGTTTTATTACAATGCAGTTTTAAACATAAATAACTTGACAATTGTATGGTAATTATGAAATCACGACGTGTAGTTGAACTTCGGGAAGATTATTTACAAAAAATTAGAGAATATTGCCAACTAAATAGGAATATAGCTCGGAATATAGTATATCTAGACGACAAGGCCAAATTTTTCTAGAATTTATGAGTAAAGTGTTTTTATGCGGTTCCAATTGAGATCGTAACAACTATACAACTTTTTTCCCTGACGCAAACTTATATGTAATGGCGTTTGATGATGTACAAATATTTTAAGGGGGTGTTTAGAAAGTAAGAAAAATTAGCTTTTATTTTTTTCACGAAAACGGTTAAACTTAGAAATTTGGAATTTTGGTACACGTTAAGAACTAGTTGAATGGTATTTTTTGGTAGTCTTTCTTTTCTGGTTTATGTCTTTGAATGAAAGAAATTAGCACGTCTTGGTTTTATTTCACTAACAACTTTTTTCTGCGTTAGCCAATTCCAACAAGAAAAATAGCTTTTTATACTACATTTCATATAGAAACTTTTTTAATTTTCTCATTTTTTTCGTACTTAATAGTTTACGAGCAAAAAAATAAATTATTTTTCCTTGCCGATAATAAGTACACATGATTAGTATAACGGTTACAAAAAACGATTTTCATTTTTGACATGCTTTTTGCAAAATATATTTTTTTCAATAGGAAAAGCCAAGCAAATACGAACTAAAAATTTAATTAAAAAAAATAAAAGCTAATTTTTCGACTATTTTGAGATTTGAATACTTTCTCAGGGGAGGGGGGGCTCAAATCGAAAAATGTATTGGAAGTACCCCCCCCCCTAAAATTACTTTCTAAACACCTGCTTAAAATACACATCATTATGAAACACCCTGTATATTATATTCGAGCAATTTTTACTAATATCTAATCTACGACATATTTGTTTCATTTTTATAATCATATTTGAAATATGCAGTTTGGAAAATATTATTGCCTATTACTTATATCAGTAAACAACATTCAATGAAACAATAAAACACATCGTCGTGACACATATAAAATTCCCCAAAAACGATGTTACTTTTCCTTCACTCGCTGCACCTTACATTTATCGGGTACATGGAAGCCATCGAACGAATATTACCAAACGTTGTGGGCAGCTTCTTGGTTGCGGTCGAGTGACCCAATGACCCGGATTCTCCAAGCCAACAGTCCATGCTGCCGTACACCTCTTCAAGTCTTGCCGACACGCTCCAAGTCTGCAGTGTAGATTCCAACAAGTACGCGACATCAACCTTAAGATTTGTGCGCTATTTGACGAGGATCTGCGATTTTTTGCGCGTGTGACGACCAACCATACCTACTTAGTCCTTAGTCCTTAAAGTGATGGTTGAAATCAATCTGTTTTATTGGATTAGGATTGATTTAGTTTAAGGTAAGTTTCCTTTTAGTATTAAACGCGAACTATACTAATTAGCTAGCTTAGATTTGCAAAAAGGTTGTAAATTTATTTAAAACTGTGTGTTGTTTTTTGTATATACGGAAAAAAATAACTTCCTTAAAGTAAAAAAAGCAATATGCATACAATTTACTTAATTCAATAGTTCTAATAAAATACACAATTAAACGCCTCAAGTGACTATAGGGTCAGGTTTTAGAATCTAATGAATGTTTTTCATCTGTGTGAAAGATTTTACGCTAACAAGTAACACTACCCCACTGTCACTCACCGATCGGAATGAAACAAATATTAGTAAAACAAAAATTAACGCACAAAAGTCGTCTTTAAATTCATTTTAACAAAAAATATACAGGGTGGTCCAGATTTTAATAGACAAACTTCGGAAAACTACTAAACAACAAAAATTAACATCACTTTGCTCTATGAACATAGGCGCAGAAAGCCACCGTTTATGAGATACAGGGCGTTGAAATTATCAAAAATAAAACATTTTTTTTGAAATAGGTATCTGGAATTCGCTTCATCAAATTTATCCAAATTTGGTACACATTTTTTTCAAATATTTCTCCTAGTTGAGTGTGCATACAGTCCAAATTCAAAAACCAATGGCGGAGAAACAATGAAGTTGTTTCCTTATTTAGAGTAAAACTTCTACGCTACTGAATTAATTGGTAATATGAATACATTTTATAATGGTCTGAAATATTCCAGATGAAAAAACATTCTTTTATTTTTGTCGAAAAGTGAACGGTTTACGTGTTATGAGATATTATGATGCGCTTTTCCAGATATTTAAAAAAATATATTTTATTTTTGTTAATTTCAACGCCCTGTATTTCATAAACGGTAGCTTTCTGCGCCTATGTTTATAGATCAAAGAGATGTTAATTTTTGTTATTTAAAACTTTCCCGAAATTTGTCTATTAAAATCTGACCCACCCAAATTTGTTATTTTTCCCGATTTCAACGCTTTGTTTACTTGAACAACTCGTAAACCATTTAATTTTCGATAAAAATAAAAGAATGTTTTCTCATCCGGTATGATTCAGACCAATATAAAACGTATTCATATTACCAATTAATTCAGTGGCGTAGAAGTTTTACTTTAAATAAGAAAACGACATCCTTGTTTCTCCGCCACTGGTCTTTGAATTTGGACTATGTGCATACAAAACTAGGGGAAATATTTGAAAAAAAATATGTATCAAATTTGGATAAATTTGATAAAGCCGTTTTCCAGATATTTAAAAAAATTGTTTTATTTTTGTTAATTTCAACGCCCTGTATCTCATAAACGGTGGCTTTCTACGCCTATGTTCACAGAGCAAAGTGATGTAAATTTTTGTTGTTTAGTATTTTCCCGAAGTTTGTCTATTAAAATCTGGACCACCCTGTATACTGTATGTAGTTTACAGGGTGCTCTGAAAGAATGTATCATTCCTGAAGGGTAGCTTCTTTATTTGAAAATAAATATATTTAAATCAAGTCACATTGGTACAATTATGTTTTCTTCGTTCGAGTCTTAAAGAAAAATATTTCTATTAATTTAAATAAAAATATAAGAATTTTTCGAGTTGCCCCAAATATACAGTTATATTATTTACCAAAGAGATAGATAATTTTAAGAGTACCTACCTAAAACAGTTTTCTTGTTTTTTGCTACAATTTTTGTAATATAGGCATTTTGAACAAATGTGGTGTTTTGTGAAATATTTATTTATCTAAAGGGAAAAAGTATGCTTTTTACGTGTCGCTAAAATGCATTGTTTCTAAGAAAAATGTATTCTAATCTCGTTGAACTTCACACTTTTGCTAACTTGGCACTATTATTATTTTTTTTTAGATCGACTTGCCTCTATGCAAAAGTCAACACTTACTGAGATATAGCCCTTTGATTGTATTTTAGCTAACAACATTTAGAGACCTATATCTCACTACCTATTGGCTTTTGAATGGGAGGGTAAGCAAATTTGCAATTTAGCAAACGGCTGAAATTAAATTAGATTAGAATACCCCAAGTACTTAGCTCTCGGTAACTTATAACCGCAGTGGAAAATTGTCTATTGTTCTCTGAAGCGATGCATTTAACGAATCTTTTTACAATAAATATAATAACATTTCATAAAACCCAGCGATTTCTCAAAATCTACAAGAAAACCTACCAAAAATACGACAAAAATATAAGCCCATGTTCATTTTCAGCCTCACCTTTTATATCAAATCTTATTGAAATAACTTCAAAACTAACAAAATATGTTTCTGCAGCGTTCTAACTTTTTAAGGAAACAAAATTATACTAAGGTAATTTGCTCTAAATCGGTTTATCTTTATTAAAGAAAGCTACCTTTGAAATATGGTCCATTCAGTTCTGCGCACTCTTTATGTGCCAAATATTGCAGTCGAATTAGAGTTTGAGCAGACTGATAATATCAAAAAGGTAACTCGAAAGAAGTGACGCTAAATTGGCAAATTTCAAATAAGTTGCTTTACGTGTTTTTTCACTTTTTTTACTTCTCATGAAAATCTAGACTACCTGTCGGAAAATTTGTTATTTTATGTTGTAGGCAATTAAATTACCTACAATTTAAGGTATCTAAAGTTATATTTCACGTATTTGTTAATTGTAAAATAAAGGTCCAACGCGGAACAATTTAGTTTTCGTAAATTGCGCATTATTATTGCAAAATGCAAAAGCAAGGATATTGATGAAATTTGTGGAAAAGATGGTCAATTCAATGACCGATTCGATAGACCGATGATCTAGGTATTTATTAATTAATTTTTTTCGTTTGTTTGCATTTAATTGTTTAGTTACTAAACGTTAATATCATAGATGAGGTTCTAATTGATTCAAAGACACGTAACGAAAAAGAAAAGTTTCAAAAAGTTCAAATTAAATTGCCCTTTACATCTAACAAAGTAGGACGTGCAAAACAGCGTTATCAACAAATTGTCCCAGTAGTCAAGCAAAAGCCTCTCGGGAATTCGCTCTTTTTGTATTAACTAGATAGAGCTTATTATTTTTACGGTAATTTAAAAAAAAAGAGAAATCACCTACGCCTTTTTGTTCCGAAAATAGCTACTTTTATAATGTGAATTGTTAATTAACTACTGGACATGTCGCACCGGAATTTTAGAGGCAATTAAAGAAAAGGTTATACTTTTATTTTCAAAAAGATTTACATTGATAGTCCATGTAATAAACGCACTAGCAGCAGTAAAAATTAACGCTAATGAACGGCCTCCGCGCGGGAGAAGGAGCTCCGAGCCCGCGCACGCGCGTGAACGTCGATTTTTTACTTGAACGTTTCAAATTCGGTTCAGTTTCAATCAAATGAATCAAGAACATTCTAGATAATTCAAATTTGGTAAGCTTTATAAAATAGCAGACATTTATTTTAACCAAAAAGTTTCATGTGGATGCGTTCAATGCCTCATTTTCGAGATACTCTGTTAAAATTAAATAAAATAACACACTTTCTCAAATAATTGGCGACTTACAAATCTAAAACTCTCAAACCATTTACCAAATGATTTATTTAATTAGAGGTTTAATATTTGCCGAGTTAGCCTACAAATACGAAAGCCAGTATTCTGCCACCGAGTATTCTGGAAATTCGACAAGTATTTTTAGAGTAGTTTATATACATACATACATATATACAAGTGTAATACTAGTGTGCAAATTTTGTATTTTAGAAGCTCATAACACCAAAAAATCAAGATATATTTAAAATATTATTTCAAATAAAATAATTTAGTAGACTTTTCTTGTGAAGTGAATAGTTTTATAACTATTTTCAGTTCAGACGTGGTTTTCTAGAAATATCACTGCAAATTAAAGACCTACTAGTCGAATATCCGATATACTTGTGTCGTCGAAATTTAAAACCTGGACCATTGTGTATAACCTGTAAGACAAATGTTTAAATTTAATTAGTTGTAATCACTGCAATAAATTCACTGTTTATATAATAATACTTTTTTTAATTACTTAGAACTGGTTATGAATATAAGACAATTAACAAAATTAAAATCATATAATAGGTACCTAATGTTAAACATACGGTAAGCAAGTTATTATCTTGTTTTATTTCCACATGTTTCTGGCAATAATAAAACGTCAACAAATGTCTCCTTTCCGTTGATATTCATTACTGTGGATATCAACGAAATTTCGCCCAGACGAGTAAAGAAATGTGTCAGTAAATGTTTCCAAATTTGTAACAATACACTGACTTGCTATTTCTACTTACCTATATGACCACCAGATATGATACTTATTAAAAATGTTTAAAGATTATTGTTGTTATTATTTGCATAATATACAGTTTGTACAATATTTGTTAAGATAGAATTGCAAGAAAAGAATAAGCCAGTAAAGTTCTGTTATCGAAACTACTGTAACAATTTACCGCGACAGGGATGTGCCTTGAAATTTTCCGAGTTATTTTCAGAATATTAAAGTATATACAGTATGTTTCACTTAAAGTTGGAACACCTCCATACCCTTAGGATGGCGTTGGCCGATTTCCAAAATTCTTTTTTTGTGGTAGTACTCAAAACGGCCTACTTTTTTGATATATTTTTTTATATCTAACCAATGACTTACTATTACCGCGTCATTAATAGGTGCTCCATCTAGTTGAAGGTAGAGGCCTTACATGAAAAGGAAGTGGAAATAACGTTAAAAAAGAAAGGCCCGATTATTCGGTCACATAAAATCCCATAAAACACAATAACTTTTTTAATTAAAATTTATATATAGTTAACGATCTTAAATAAATTTAGTCAATAAAACTATAAAATAAAATTAAGGATTATTTACATGTGACGGAAAGACAAATATAAATTTTTAATAAAGTTTGATTTTTAATTGTGGTTTTGTAGAAACATCTAAATCCATAATTACCTATGTATATAGAATCAAAAAATCAAGATATACTTACAAACTTAAAATTAGAAGACTTTTA